GATCAGGCAGTGTGTGTGTGTATGGATGTAGGTATTAGGCAGTATGTGTGTATGGATGTAGGTATCAGGCAGTGTGTGTATGGATGTAGGGATTAGGCAGTGTGTGTGTGTGTGTGTGTGTGTGTGTGTATGGATGAAGGGATTAGGCAGTGTGTGTATGGATGTAGGGATTAGGCAGTGTGTGTATGGATGTAGGGATTAGGGATCAGGCAGTGTGTGTGTGTGTATGGATCTAGGGATCAGGCAGTGTGTGTGTATGGAAGGATCAGGCAGTGTGTGTGTGTGTATGGATGTAGGGATCAGGCAGTGTGTGTGTGTGTGTGTGTGTATGGATGGATGTAGGGATCAGGCAGTGTGTGTTTATGGATGTACGCATTAAGCAGTATGTGTGTGTGTGTGTGTGTGTGTACGTACTAGGCAGTATGTGTGTTTAATGATGTACACATCAAGCAGTATGCGTGTATTAAAAGGCAAAATGTAGGCCAAAATAGCTGATCTATAAGTTTACTCCATTCGGCTAAAGTCACGGTTCAGCTGTTTTTGCTTAAACTTTGAATTGCAGTGAGTTGAAAACCAAATTGCAGAGTTTAGTGAATAAACCTCTGAGATTATAATTGCTTTATTAAGGGGGAGGCAAAATGGATCTTTGCCTAGGGCGGCAGAAATCCTTGCACCGGCCCTGGATCCACCAGTTTGTGTTTATACAATCCTACAATTTCTGATCAATCACATAAAAAGGCTGTTCCTAAATAGGCTGTTTCTAAAAATGTGTCCATCCGTCCTCCTGATTAATCAAGGTCCCTCACTTCATGATCACACTTTAAATTCTTGGTTCCCTGTATGTTACTACATACCAAAACACCTTTATTGTTTATATTCGCCATGGATGTTTAGATTTCTTGAGTACTGGTAGGCTAACCTCCATTACAGTGGCTCACATGCCAAGTCTTCTTGTTTAGCTTATAACCTCCATTAGACTTCTCTCCATGATTTTCTTGTTAATTTCACTTAAATTTCCACCCTGCTTCCCCTCCCCCCCCCCCATTTACAAACACTACATCTGTTAAAAGAAAAAAATCCAAAATGCAGTATAAAATTGGAACCCATTATTTGAAATATAATTGAAAGTCACCATGTTCTAATGAAGCAACATGCTAACAATTTATTAAAGGGTTACTCCAATCACCATGACCACTTCGGCTTTTAGAAACGGTTACGGTAGTAGGAACTTTATGTTCAGCGTTTCGGCAAACACAGCATATACAGCGACATGATATAATCACTGTTGCACCGGGTGTTAGTTGCACACCTGGAACACGTAACTTAGGCAGCTAGGAAATCTATACCGAGATGTCCAATGTCAGTTCTGTGCAAAAAAAAAAAAATACATCGGTCATGGGCACGCACAGTCATCAGGCAGCATTCATCTACCCTCCTCCCTTCATGTCGCCTCAACTTCCTTTTAAAGAAACCCCCCCGCTGTCTTCCATCCATACCCTTAATGACTCACAGTTCGCACATGTGGCTCATGGATGCTGTGATGTCAGAAGAGCTGTGCAAACAAGTATGGGGAGCTTCGGCCCAGCGTCAGGTGAGTTTAAAGCTTTTTATTAGGATTAGTTTAACCCTGAGGGGGCAAGGAAGGGTGGAGGGCACAAGTTAGTAATGTCAAATACAGCATTATTGAGTAAAATCAAATGTAAAAAAAAAAAGGTTTGGAGTAACCCTGTAACCATTTGTAGAGGAGGGCTAAACTTGTTCTGTAAAATACATGGCTCAGATTACTATTTTCGACAACCTTGTTTGGGGAAATATAGTGACTGTACACACAATGCTTACGTAAACTGTATTAAAGAACAATAGTGCAGAGTTTTTTTTCTCAGTAATTGTGTTAAAAATTTGTGATATTTAATAAATATAAACGTAAAAAATGAAACAATTGAAATCAACTTTCAGACATAAGAAAAATAAAAAAAAATGCACACTAATCTATACTTTGTGC